CACATTTACAGTCTGTGACAGAATACTTTACACATATAGTAAACGTCATCTTTTTGTATAATCACAATAGTTCAATCTTCTAGCATCACCTGGCCTGAACACAGAGTACCTTAATGCTAGCTAATGACACAGCTACCATGAGTCAATTCCATCATCAGGGTGCAAGAGCACTGAGATTACCTGGTTCAGCAAGACCAAGTATATTTCACTCTGCCAAAATTTTGTAACTTTAAAGGTCACACATAGTTTAAGAATATGTATGGACACGTTAGATATTTTTAATGTCTTTGCTATGATTTACATATTATTGTGTATAAGAGAGATGGTTACAAACAACTGATATTTCTTTGATATGTAGAAATGACACATTTCTTTTTTCTTTCTACCAGTGTAAGAGAGTAGGACCAAGTATTCTCTACCTTTGCCTTTGGGGCTATGAACACTCTGTCCATTTCATCTCAATAACTTTCTCAGTTTCTACTTGGTGCGTAAAATTAAAGTGTGCTACATGTTGTTGTAAGAGGGAGTTCATATTCTGTGATAATGCCTGGTGAAAAAAGATTTACTTTCAAGGAAGACATAAAGAGTAGGGCGGTGGCCATGTAACACCTGAGGCATTTTAGAATTATGAGTTGCTATAGTCTGATAATAATTAGCTTGATGCATTTGAAAATTATTCTCAGATCCACAGCTCTTTCTTTGGTGGAAGGAGTGTGCACAAGCCACCTTCACAGGGGCTTCTGACACAGCGGGTCAAGCCGATATTCAGAGGTTCTAAAAAAGTTGAAGTGAGACACATTGTCTTTCATAAAATGTGTAGAGAAATTTCCAAGACAAACATAATTCTAGGATGGGATTAGGCGAGGTTTTGTTGATCTCTAAAGTCTTCAGGCTGTTCTAGAAACACAATATTAAATAGTATTATAGACATTATAATTATATTGTATATGACCTAATAAGGACTATGGTATTTTTCAGTTGTGGTTCTTTTTTCTACTCATTTATTTTTCCCTCATGACTAAACATCTGCTATTATTAATTGATTTTAATTTACTTATCTCAACAGAAAAGACAGAGATGTACAATATGGGTGGATGAAACACCTTAACTCACTTTACAGTACAATTACACCTACAGAAAACATTGTCCAGCCAAATGTATTCAGTGCCTTCACAACTCTCCCAGTTATATTGGCCATCTAGACCTTAGATTCAGTCTAAAACATATGTAGCATGTTCTCTACCACCCATAATGTAACAGAAGTTGGGCAATTACCTGGGAGAGTCAATCAATGACATGGAGAGTCTTAAGGATTTCCATTGAGATTAATTTATCTGGATTAGTATCTTCAGCAATCAAATCGGTTGGATGATTTGTCTCTTCTTTCAATACTTGTTAGAAGATTTTGATAGCAAATTATCTAATTTAGCACCACATTACAGTTGCTCACCAAGGGTAAAGCATTAAAACAGCTGTCTGAGTTTATGCACAGGAAACACAGATCGAAGATTTCTTACTGCTAACATACACTGCTGAGATTGTAGAGGAAACTCCCAGGAAAGCTGCCAGCAAGCAGAGATCAATGAAGTCTGTGGAGAAGTTCATTCTCCGTTGTCCTTCCACTCTCTTTGCAAAGCTCCTCTTCTGAGGTTTCCCAATTCTTATCAGGATCTACCTTCCCTAACTCCGTCATCATCTGGGTATCGTCCCCTTGAGGTCCATGTTCTATCCCCTTAGGATACCAAGTGATATTTATTTATTTTGTTAGCTAGCATTCTGGTATTTTTTTTTCTGAAGAGACAAATATATATTTTACTTAAGGGGATGTCTCAATTTTCATGTTTTCTGTGCACAATTGCTGTGCCCCAGACATTAAAGATCATCTGGATCACAGGGAAAAAACCTGGATCAGTTGATCTGGGAAAACTACCTGAACTATTTCAGACAAGGGAGAGAAGAGCTGCTCGTGTCCAGCCAGCACATTAGTACAGGGAAATGGCCCAGTGAACACCAGCTGTAACTCAGTGCAGTCAAGCTAACTTGGCTGAATTTATCATCTGATCATGTGGTAATGTGTTTCTCAGTCTTTCTTCACAATATCATTATCAGGAAAAAAAAGAAATCAAAAACAATATCATTATCAGCATCATCAAAATTTATGTCTATCTTCCCTGAACAATTGTGACAAGGTCTCTGGTATTATTTCACAATATGTATTTTAACATTGTTAATATTGAAAATATGTCTTAAACTATTTTCCTTGAATATGGCCAGAAAAATCGTATTTTAAAAACCAATGTAGTTAGGAGTATTATAGTACTATCCTCATCTAATCTGAAAGGATGTAGGAAGAGTTGTCCTCTTCTCGTTAAGAACACAAAGAAATTAAATATTGAAAAGTGAAACAATTGATACAAGGCTCGTGCTTTCCAGCAACAGGGTACAGTGGAGATTACAGACTTGCATAAGAAGAGGACATGTCTTAATAAAGCCATCAAAGAGGAAACTCCTGCACTTGTAAGAGCTTTAAGTCACAATACCCTTTAATCCGCAGGTTGGCTCCTTCGTCTCTGTACCTCTCTGCTTCTGGCTCTTGTAAATGATATGTGGGTGGTATTCTCCCTTGGCGAATGGATGCTCTTTAACAGGCTCAATGAAAAAGTCTCCATGTGGCAGATGGAAAAATCCAGTCTGTAAATATATTCAAGAAGTTTTATTTGAATAAATTCTATATAAAAGATGTTAGGAAAGTAAAATATCATGTGGATCTTCATAATCCCTGCAAACCTTAAACCAGTGCTTTCAGAATCTGTCATCTCTAGTCATAGAAAATATACTCAAATAATTTGAGTAAATGTTTTGATAATCACAATTACTAAATATTTTCAATCTCTTTGGGGTTTTAATGAAGAAAGTACACATGTATACATGGATCCAAATTGTAACATATAATTTATCAGGCTCATAAATCCTCCTTAACTTCATTGCTGGATACCTGTGGAGCTCAGATTAATCAGAGCTGCCACTGACCACAATTACAGAGGCAATACCCTGACCCACACTTCCTTAATAACTGTTAGAATGCGTTTGCGTGTAGGCAGCCCTGCGTCTCCTTAACAGGACTGCTTGACTGGAAGTGTGCAGTTCCATTCTTTACTCAGGAAAACAAAAACACCACAATGTTAAATGTCATCTGAGAGTGAGTTGCAGGGGTCCACAGTGAAAAGCCAATTGTAAATCTCCAATGCATAGATCTGAGAATCACTGGGATGCTGCAGAATGCTGGTCAGTGCATAGCTCAAGCCTAGAAGTGTAGGCTTGTCTCTTTACAGCCCATTAAACATGACTATAAAAGTCCTCTACTATCCATCTCTTAAGAGAGACTTGGCACACACAATCATAATCCCATGTCTGTGCAATGAAGGGCTCCCTCTAGATGACCTCCTCGGGGTGTTATATTGAAACAGTCAGAAGCTCAGACTAAGGAATGAAACTAGGTTCAAATTCAGCTGGATCCCTCACTTACTGACTCTGTCAGTTTGAGTAAATGACTTACTTAATTTCAGATTTTTCAGCTAAAAAATGGGGATAATTGAAGAGTAAATGAGTTAATGCATATAATGCTCTTAGTAAAGGACTTAGGTCATAGTTTTACCTATCCTTACACTCCAAATGCCTGACTATGTCATTTCATGTAGTAAAGTCTTTTACTCAAGTGAAAATTCAGTAAATGTGGGCTTCATGGAAATAAATCTGAAAACAGAGGAGACTCTAGGGAAACTGTAAAAGGCACCTGAATTCAAGCTCCTTTCTCCACTCCTTAGTGCTCCAGGACTGCTCAGCTCTGCAGGTGAACCTGAAAAGGAGCTAAGCAGTCCCCACAGATAGGAGGCAAGAGGGGATTCCTCAAACAGGAGACCCCTCTTGTCACATAGCCCTTGCCTTAAACGTCTAAAGTGTTCACCGCAGTGCAACCAGTACTACAATTGGACATGTAGGTAAATGCCACAAATGACTTCTTATTTTGATTATTGACCTTAAACAACAGAGATAATGGGAAGAGAAAGCATTTCACTGAGGACCATAAGAACAGCTGTGTAACCGTGAATAGGTTACAGAAATGTCATGAGCCACAGAGTTCTCATTTATAAAAGGGCTGGTAGAATGAAGTAAGGTGAGGCTTGAGAATGTATCATGTCTTATAGATGCACAGGGTGATGCTTTAGCAAATTCAATAGTTGTGCATTTAACTTTAAATTTGTTTGTATGCTGATATTTCTTAGGAGATGTGACAATTTTTTCAGTGTCTTTCTCTGTGGGGAAATTTTGAGACAGGAAGAACTGTCAAGGCCCAACAAATTATATCAAATAATTGTGTAAAAGCAGACTCCATACAATGCTGAGATTTGGTTCCATCTCTCCCCTGAATCAGAGCCCAGCCACAAGGAGAATGTGGGCCTGTCACTAATGAGGCTCATTTCTTCCATGGAAACAAAGCAGAAATCCAACATTCCTTAGAAACAGCTGGCCTTGGGAGCCCTTTGTGGACTCTCAATCTGATACTGATGTCCTAGGAGAAACAAAACACCACCAACAGGAAGGATTTATTGAGACCTTCAAACTCAAATTTTGGACTCAAGTGCTGAAAAACAAACAAGTAGAACTCCACTGGAGAACATGGAAATCATTAGATGGACCACATGAATGGTACAGCCTGAAAGCCAAATCTTTTCCTAAAAGATTTCCATCCATTTGTACTCCTCCACATGGTAAGCCTTGCCAGAGGAATATGGGAACCACCTCTTCAGCCTAGGAATTTCTCAGAAGGTGGTTAGAGATTTAGGCAGGCTGAGGATTTGGAGGCAGAGAAGAGATAGGAAAGCACACACACATACACACACACACACACACACACACACACACACAAACACACAGGAGGCTGCTGACCCAGGATCATGAGTGTGTCATGGGTAAGGGAAAGAGTATAAGAGTGAATGAGAAGGTATCTCTGGTTGTGGGGAGCATGCAGTGGGAGATTTCACAGCTAAATTCTATGCCACCTCTTTTTTCTAGAACAAAAACACAGTTTTGTTCATCTAGTGTTGTGATTTGAGTCTGGATGTCTCTCTTCTCAGCCCGCCCCCTGCCAAAGTCTCAAACAATCAGATTTTTTCAGGAGGCAGCTGAATCTACAGTCTGTGATTCATTTGCAGCACAATGCTGGGATTAAGGGTGTTGGGATTAAGTAGGGATGTTGCTGGATCAACGCACTGAATGGATACAATATAAGTGACAGAAAGAGGCTTGCTTGTCTTTCTTTTCCTTGCTTGCTTTATTTGCTATCTTGTGCTACCATGAATGGTTGTCCCCGGTCACATGCCACCTTGCCTTGGATCCAGCCAACTGTGGACTGAAACCTCTGCAAACTGTGAGATAAAGAAAATTTTCTTCCCTTAACTTTGAGTGTCAGGCATTTTGGCTCAACAATGAGAAAAGTAACTAAGACATCTGGTTTCCAGGAAGGCCATTTATTAGGGTCTTCTCAGTTCTCAGGAATCAGGTCACACTGGAAGGAATCACCTAGTTTGCTTTTTTGCTGGTTTTACGATGCTTAAAATGAGCTGCCTCAAAAAAAAAAAAAAAAAAAAAAAAAAACAAAAAAAACACCATTTTCTGTAACCAGCTCTGGCTTGGACCAAAAAAAGCCCTGTGTATTGCATTCTGTTCACTTATTTTCTCATATACTTTTAGATGAGAATGTGGATGGGATTGGGAAAAACATCAATTCACCAAGGGCTTATTGTCTTTATTCAAAAGAACCTCAATAGAATGAGTTTGAGCTTAATGTTTAGTTACTTTTCTCCTTGTTGGGACAAAATATCTAACAACCACAAATTAAAGGAGGAAATGTCTATCACAATTTGTAGAGGTTTCAGTCCTTGTCAGCTGGCTCCAAGGCAGGCTGACATGGCAGACAGGCCTCACTGAGGAGAAACAGCTCATGCCATGTCAGGCAGAAGGCAGTGCAGCAGCAAGAAGTGGTAAACTTGCCTATTTCTTGTTCCTTTAAGTAGCAACCAAGATACAGGCCTAATGATGGGTGTCACTCAGATCCAAGGTGGAGCTTCCATTGTCCACATCTTTAATCTCAGCATCATGCCCTTAATCCACATTTACATACCCTAATCCAGTCACCTTGAAAACTATGACTGAATGACTGAATGAGGCTTTGGGGGACATGTAGATATAATCTATAACACTGAAAAAGAATACCTCTATTTGTTTTAAACAAATTATAAATATCTGTGAATGTTTCCCAGGGCACTACTCTAAAAATTCATTTTAAAGAATCTTAATTTTGCAATTATACACATGCAGAGATGTACAAATCTTGACTTCAAATATTCATAAATCTTTCATGAGGGGAACAAAGGGAGAGATTAAACATTACCAGCAGCCAAGAAATTCTGTTCCCCTCATTATCCTGAGTTCTAACACCAATAAATTAGTTTAAAGACTATCCTTATTCTTTATAGGATGCATTATTTGACACAAAATGAAGATTTCCTAGTTCAAGTGTTGAGGGCTAGCCAATGGAAAAAAATTTATTAAGATAAAAGGATTTCCCAAGGCTTATTAAATTGGACTCATCAATTGCCTCAGTCAGGTGTCAAGCTCAGGTAGTAGAGATGAGATAAAGGGCCCAGGTGCTTTGGTTTGAGCTAGTGACACTGAATCTCTCTCTTTCTGAAGAGGGACAGTCACAGATTCCTTAAAACAGTCCTCTGCTTAGGCAGATGCAAGGGCAGGGGGTTTAATCCCCGGGCCTGCCATGCCAGCCCTGCCCCCAGGACACACTGAGACAGGGATTGAGACTGGGCATGGTGGTGTGTGCCTGTAATCCCAGCACTTTGGGAGGCTGAAAACAGGAGAATCACTATAAGTCTGATCTACGTGGTGAGACCCTGTAGAACTTGTACTAAATACATAAAAAAGACAGTCCCAAAGTGAGAGTATTTGCCCAAATCTTTTCTTCCCTCACTCATCTTGCTTAAAATTACTAATCTTAATGAATGTGACATTACCCTTCAGATAGCAACAACAGTTTGGGATCCAAGGGGAACCTGACTGTTCTAACATACATTGAAGTAGTGAATAGGATGTTTTGGAGTTATAGAGCCCAGAAACTGGAACAGCCCCCTCAAAGTCATGCTGGTATGTCTTTAATAGTACCATAGCAAAACCTAGTAGCTTGGTTGGTAAGAATCAATGATGTAAGAGATTTAAATGGTGCCTCCTGAAGTTATGCAATGGAAGAACACTGTCAAAACTCATCACTTGGGCTGGGGAGATGGCTCAGTGGAATAAGCGCTTCCCTGGCAAGCTCAGGGGTCTGAGTTCAATCCCCGGTTCCAGGAAAAACAAAACAAAACAAAAAAAAAAAACTCATCACTCTGCCCTAGAAGGAAATTTCTTTTCATTTGAAAGTCTCAGAAGTTATCAAATGAACTTTTTATTCTCATAGTGATAGAGACAATGCATTGAACATATTTGGAAAGGAAGAACAGAAAAAAATGGGTTGGGATAAATATAAATGTACCTAAGACACTCAATTATAGTATATAAAGGAGTGAAAAAGGATACCTTCTCTTATTGGATAGTTAGGAAAGAGGATCAGTGAGCCCTGCAAG